GGATTTCTGTATTCGGGCGAAGAGTCGGCGCCGGGAAACGTCGGGCTCTGGGATCAGGCGCTGGCCTTGGAGTGGATCAACGACAACATCCGCTACTTCGGCGGCGACGACCAGAGAATCACCATTTTCGGGGAGAGCGCCGGCAGTTGGTCCGTCAGTCTTCACATCCTCTCTCCCGCGTCGCGACACCTCTTCCACAACGCAATCATGAACTCCGGCGCCTATTTGTATGCCTTTAATGAGGACAGAGCCGAAGATCACGCGAAGAAGTGGTTAAAAGGCGCGAAACTGATTGGTTGTGAAGAAAAAGGCGCGAAATTCACGGAAAAAGTGATGCAATGCTTGAGAGCCGCAAAACCGGAGAAATTGGTCAACATTTTGGAAGCGAAGGAACTGACGGTCGGATCGATAAAAATGTGGAATTTGGTGGTAATTGACGGACACTTTCTGCCGAAAAGACCGCAAGAAATGATATCTTCGGGAGACTTTAAGCGCGACCTAAATCTCATGGTTTCGACGACCGAAGACGAGGGAAGCTTTTTATTAGCCTATTATTACGACTCCGAGAAATTCAGTGCAAAAACGCCGCGAAATCTGACTTTTAAAGAGGCGTTCAATGAATTGCAAGAAATCTCTTCCGAACTCTCGTCTCGAACGCCAGTCGACGGACAAGAAGTCGCGAAACTCTATTTCGCGGGACTTTCCGAACGAAATTCCGAGGATTTGTTGCGACAAACGATCGGCAAAGCGGTCGGCGACTACTATATCACGTGTCCGACTCTGGAGTTCGCGAAACAAGTGTTCAGAAGATCCGAGTTTAAGGTCAAAGTCTATCAATATTTATTCAACAGTAAATTTCAGGACATTTTGATTTGCGGCCATTGGATGGGTGTTTGTCACGGAAACGACTTGTTCCCGATGTTCGGCATTCCTCTCGTCTTTGCCGACAAATTCAATGAAAGAGAAAAAGAGATTTCGCGGCAAATGATTGAAATTTTGACGGATTTCGCGAAAAAAGGGTTCGTTTTATGCAATCATTGCTTGAATTGAAGTTTTGTTGTTCTCAGAGAACCGCCGAAACAAAAGGACAGTCTTTGGCCGCAATATTACTCTATAAACGACGCAATCATTGCTCCGTATTATGAGTTCACAAACGACTTGAGGAAAGACACGAATTTCGGAAACGCCTTCAAAAGCGTTGAGTGCGAGTATTTGTGGCGAAAATACTTTGAGATCTAATTTCTATATGAAAAGTGTATTTGTTATTTAAATATTAGAGATTATAGCGAAATAAGAATTCAATTATCAATGAAATCAAATTCTTTGAGTTATTCTTCTAGTAATCAAAAGTCATTTCTTATCAAAAGTAATAAATGTTTGGAAATATCTTTATTGCCG